TGCTGAAGTGCTGGTGTCTGGTGTTATGTCAGCAGATAGCTAACAGGTTCCTCCAAGAAAGACTCGGACGCCAGATGTCCAATGAGTGTATTTTACTTGAAAGAAGCACTGTAAACTACACATACAAAAAGAATGTCTAAATAACATGTCTTATACATGCAATTATACATAGGTATTAGATGCAACTTTAACATATAGCTTTGCATACAGATGCGCGAATAAATAATCTTGTTGTTTTATGCTTTAGGAAAAGTCCTTTCTCTACATGTTTCTTTAAATTACAGTCCAAATGAAGAAAAACATTAAACAAAATACTCACAGACTGATATTTTCAAGAGCTTCTGTAACACAAACCCGCATGGCAGCGAAATACAGCTCTGTTACAAACTTAATACAACTCAGTTTTTCCTCTGTCCACTAGATGTCACTCCTGGACTGTTTTGCTAAGATCAGCACAGCGTGTGTGTGTGTGTGTGTGTGTGTGTGTTGTGTACTCACCCAGCCGCTGCTCCTGAACACAGGTGTCTCATGATGAGCTGCTCTTTCCTGCACTCCTGATGGCCAGAACAGAAGCAACATCACTGCATCACACCGACAAACACACTACTCACATCAACATGTCTCTATATGTGTGTGTGTGTGTGTGTGTGTGTGTGTGTGTGTATGTGTGTGTGTGTGTGTGTGTGTGTGTGTGTGTGTGTGTAAAAGTTCACTTAAAGACTCGACCACACCCGTCTTTGAGCATCTCCTCCTCCTGAATCAGACACTGATATACGTGTCAGGAGCTGGAGCGAGTAACATATTAGCTGCATCTATGAAGGGCATGGGCTGAGAGCCAAGAATAACAGGACCACCTAGAGTCAAAACCTATCCAAGCATGGTCAGAAGTTAAAAAGAGACACCGAGGGGTGGAGCAAAACTCTGTCTGAATATTGTAAACACACAGACACTGCAGGGATGGTCCAGGAGAGACTTCAGACTGCTCTGAGATCTGCTCTGCTCTTTATTATGGGGAATAAAGTCTCTTTTCTGATACTCAAAACCTCCCATCTGATGTGAAGTCGGCAAATATCACTCAACAGTTGCAGACACAAACTGTTAATACAGAACTCGCGGAGAACAGAGACGAGCGCTTGTTTTGCTCAGAATAAACTCTAGTGTTGTGTTCAGCAGTAATGAGTCGGAATGAAGAGAGTTTCTCCTGAAAACGAGCAGAATACTCTGACACTGGAGGAAGAGAAATCCTCTGATGTCCAAGGGAAACAAGATTATTCTGCTCGTTTATGGGAGAAACTCATTCTGAATGCTGAACTCAACACTATATTATCTGCTCGTCTAGACCAGGGGTTCCCAAACTTATTAGCTTGCGACCCCCAAAATAACAATGTTAGTGACTCGCGACCCCCCAATATCCTCTGAGGTTGTACAGAATACAGAAACCTTGCATGCAACAGCGCACACACACCAATAGACCCAAGTTTATTCTTAGTTTAATGTTAGTTTTCATGTAAATCAGAGCTGTAAATGTGCCAGAAAGTTTAACCTGATATTATAAAATCAATCTGCTGCATCTGACGCCATTGGTGTGTCTTTAAAATAATGTAATTACACCAGGGGTCGCAATCCAATAGAACTAGTAACCATAAGCGACTGTAGTAACTATATAGTATATATTCACTATAAACAACAATTTTTCTTTTCAGTAGTTTATTGATAAAGTATGGTAATTCTTATGGTTTAATATAAATAGATTTTTGGAAATCGCCAGGCGACCCCCCTTCATTGTCCCGCAACCCCTTGGGGGGTCCCGACCCCCACTTTGAGAACCACTGGTCTAGACAATGCATACTGATTTAAGAGTTGTTAAATATTTACACTAGAACAGGACACACTCTTTTTCTGCAGGTTTGCAATGCATAACACACAAACACACGTATGTGTAATAATAATCCCACCCAACCCGCCCCAAGCTGGTATCGAACTGGTGACCTTCCGCATGAGAGTTGGTTGCTCTAACAAGGAGGCTAAAGACCATGACCAGTAGTGTGTGTTGCTAGAGCACCTTTAGAGGTCAGAGGAGTGAGGTTTACCTGCACAACACTTCACTGGCCTCCATTACATATGCAGCTGATGAAAACACACTGATGAAGAAGACAGCAGAGCTGCCGGTGGACCAAACATTGGGGTAAAGTTGACTGTATTCACACATTCAGACTTCCTCCTTAACAATGTCAATTCAGAAACGCATCCTTTGCAAATAATAAATGGGTAAATCGCATTATCAGCCGATGACTACCACAGCAGATCATGAAATCATTCCTACATGAGAGTTTATTGTAGTGTGGTAAACGGGCTGACTGAGGTGAAGTTGGTGTTATACTCGCACATTCATTCATATTAACACTCCCTATCATGTTTAGCACGCTCATTTGAATATTGGGTCAGAAATATCATTCAAGAATGACTTCAAAACAACATCAGCACTATTTTATTTACCGTGAGCGATGATCTACTGTGATAGTCACCGGCTTCTATTGAGATTAACCTTCTTACAATTTACAAAGAATCTGAAATGACATTATTGAGGATGATGAAGTCTGAATGTGCGAGTATTACCCCCAGTAAACAGTACATGGAGCGCATCACGAGCTGTCGCTGAGCGAATATTAAATCAGCTTTACCTCAGTGGATCAGTCCTTCATCAGTGCTGGATCCTATTATAATGGCGGCGGCCGCTGGAACACTTCAAAGGAGCCTCACACCGCGGCGCGGAGACAAACTAATACAAAGTATCAGTGTGCTGCCGGCGGCGCCTCTGATGTCTGACCGCGGTTATCACTGTTCATATCTCAGTCTACTGCAAGTGTGTGGTTTACCTGCTTCTTACACCTTCAGGTACTGTTAAACTGCTGTCAACAGCTCCTCAGTGCCGCTCAGCGGTTTGAATCACTCATGACTGACGTATGCTAATCTGCGCGTCCGGTGATCTGATTGGCCTGCGAGACGCATGACGTTACATTGTGGTTATATATTCATGAGGACATAACTTGGCTGAGATTTGTTTGTCTGATTTCTTCTTTATTATATTATTTTGTAGGTTTATTATAATTTAATCTGCTGTTAAAATAGTATAATTTTTGTTAATACTATCGTCAATGTCACTTATATAGCACTATTCAAAACAGCCAGAGGTTGACCAATGTGCTGCACAGTACAAATCAAAACAGAAAAAAAAAAAAAAAAAAAAATTATATATATATATATATATATATATATATATATATATATATATATATATATATATATATATATATATAGACAATGTTCACTGATGAAATGCTGAATCACAGAGGTAAGTTTTCCACCCAGATCTCAAAACAGTCAGGGATGAAACAGATCAGATACAGAGGGGCAGAGCATTCCACAACCTAGGAGCAGCTACTGCGACGGCACGGTCACCCCTGCACTTCAGCCTCGACTTAGAGATACATCACAGTCTCTAATTAGATGACTGAAGAGAGCGACCAGGCTGATGCTCAGTCAACATGTCCGACAGATAAGAAGGTGCCAGGCCGTTTAGAGATTTAAAAACCAAGAGAAGCATTTTAAGAGTGACTCGAGCAGAGAGCGTGAGGCTGGTGTGATGTGCTCATGTTTCTCAGTACCTGTTAAAAGCCTTGCAGCAGCATTCTGAACTAACTCTAACCGGGATAAGGTGTCCTGATAATAGGGGTTATCTCAACAATTGCACATTTGAAAGATCTTACAAATAAAACATTTGAAAGTTTTTTGTAGTATTTCCCTCGATTATTTGGGTTTTTCAGTATGCTCTTCATCCCTCTCTAGTGTGCCGTATGTGTGTACATGTAAATGTTGTGGTTCATCTTCTACTAACTGATGCATTTCTCTTCTGCACAGTGGAGAAATCATCAAGCTGAATGTGTTCTATCAGTCACTCATTTACACTTTCACTCTCTATCTAGCAATTCTGAGTTACAGCTGTAGTTCATTACTCACAACTCTGAAATAAGCCGGATTACGCTCAGAAATGCCAGACACCACGGTGTGTTTTACTCCAAGATGTTGCAAATCTAAAACACAAACACTGAACTGTCATGCTCTTCTCGCATTTAAGAGGACAATTCTGAGAAAAGAAACCCTGGAAAAACATCTGTGACCTCACTCTCTGAACAGTTCAATATGTTATACTATCTGTAGGGCAGCACAGTGGCTCAGAAGGTCTGTGGTTTGAGTCTCGGCTGGGTCAGTTGGTGTTTCTGTGTGGAGTTTGCATGTTCTCCCTGTGTTGGTGTGGGTTTCCTCTGGGTGCTCCGGTTTCCCCCACAGTCCAAACACATGCGCTGTAGGGGAACTGATCAACTACACTGGCTGTAGTGTATGAGTGTGTGTGAATGAGTGTGTATGGGTGTTTCCCAGCACTGGAAGGGCATCCACTGTGTAAAACATATGCTGGAATAGTTGGTGGTTCATTCCAAAATGAATGAATGAGTACTACTTACAACTAGCATAAACATTTGTAGAAACACTGTGTGTGTGTGTGTGTGTGTGTGTGTGTGTGTGTGTGTGTGTGTGTGTGTGTGTGAACATGACAGCAGATTGAGTTACAATCCAGAGAAACTAGAGAGCTGAAGGTGTTGCTGCGTGTCTGATGGAGTGACGATACAGCAGCAGGAATCCTCAAAGGGTGTGTAACTTTATTTGAGCATGTGGACCGTAAATCCACCTTAGTGAAGCACATAATTGAGCAAAAGTCTCCAAACTGAGTAATGCTTTAAGATGGTGTGTGTGTGTGTGTGTGTGTGTGTGTGTGTGTGTGTGTGTGTGAGACGCTTCCAGAGGAATGCAGTGATTATACACACACAAAAGTCTCAGTCAGACATGTCGTCTTCATCATCATCATCATTCACGGTGCAATGGTCATGTTCAGGCATTATACAGCAGGATCCACTTGGCCCAATGTGGGAGTCATGGAGGAAGCGTCCTGAGGAGTATTACACACAGCAGCTTTATAAACACCGTAAACTCCTGCTGTAGTGTTGCTCCCGGCACTGCTGTGTGTGTGTGTGTGTGTGTGTGTGTGTGTGT